AACATGCAAATACCAAATAAAATCTGAAATTAAGTGAAAAAGGGTTGGAGAAATTACTAATTGAAGCTTCAAATGTTGAATACAAATTGCCAAACTTTGAGAGTAATTCTTGAATTTCACTAATACAATGATTTGATTTGATGAAAACTAAGCTAAATTAATCCTAAGGAATGTTTCAAACTAAAAGAGGTTTCTGAAAACTAGGCTACTGTACTCTCTCCCTAAATGAGCTAAAAGGGGAAGTATTTATACTCCCCGAAACACATAGGGAAAACCGTCAAAAGAAAACGGATTCCCAGCGAGGAGCGCCCGCTCCACAATGAGGAGCGCCCGCTTCTAAGCTAGGAGCGCCCTCTCCTTTTGGCTGCACGCCCTCTCCATAATGCTTCAATGAAGGATCAGATTTGAAAGCGTCAGGGAGGAGCGCCCGCTCCTCACATGATGCACGCCCGCTCCCCTGTTCCAGCAACATGGGCAGATTCAACTTCAAAGGGAGTAGCGCCCGCTCCTGGTGAGGAGCACGCCCGCTCCTAACAGCACCTGAACTTGGGCAGAATGTAGCTAGAGTTGAGGAGCGCCCGCTCCATGAGAGTTGCACGCCCGCTCCCCTGGAGCGCCCTCTCTAATATTCAATCCTCTTGTCTTAAACACGATTCATGCACCGAAAGCCTGCCCAATTAAGTCCATAGACCTGCAAAACATGGACAAACACAAACCAAGAGGGGGACAGCCGAGACAAAACATTTTCATTCAAAATTGGGTTAGAAAGAGGGGAAATGATCGCAAAATCGGGTTTAAATTTACACAATAAGTGGTCAAATAAACCACTTATGAATACGGAATCGACATTATGTTTTCCCTTATTTGCAAACCCCTCGGATTCCCATATTGGGAATTGTGTATTGCCATGTCTTCGATAACCTGTCCTGCATCATCCACATTTAAATTCATAAACCTCCCACTAGCTGCCGAATCTAGTACTGATCTAGAAGAATTTCCAAGTCCATTATAGAATGCTTGGATCAATTGCCATTGTGCTAGATTGTGGTGGGGGCACTCTCTCTGTAGATCCTTAAACCTCTCCCAAGCCTCATATAATGTTTCGTCGGCCTCTTGAGCGAAGTTCTGAATAGCACTTCTTAGCACCGTTGTTCTCTCTGCAGGATAATATTTATTATAGAAATTCAAAGCAAGAGTTTCCCAGTCAGTAATACCAAGTGCAATTATATTCAAACCATTAAACCATAATTTTTCTTTGCCACATAATGAAAAGGGAAAAAGAATCTCCCTGATTTGGTCCTGCGTAACCCCGGCTTGTCTAATGGTGTTACAATATTGGCAGAAATCTGCGATGTGAAGATTAGGATCTTCACCCTTAGCTCTGCTGAACTGCTTCCTCTCTATCATAGTGATAAATTGGGGCTTGATCTCAAATTGAACTCCATCTAGAGCCGGAGTAGGAGTAAGGTGCGGGAAGTCTGTGAGCTTCGGTTGCGAATAATTGCTGAGTTTCTTCTGGGCCGTCATCTCTGATTCTGAATCTGAAGGAATATCTGTATCACTAGAATCAGGGGAAGAATCTCTTCGATCGTTGTCCTCCTCAGAACCCGCCAGAATTTGTCTATAGAGTCTCCTTTGCCTATGAAAAGAACGCTCGATCTCAGGATCAAAAGGGATGTCACCTGATCTAGAACACCTGGGCATAAACAAAGAACTAAAGACAAATATGAGATTTGCCTCAAAGAACTAATGTTCTCTGAGGCAAAAGGGGGGATAATCTAGACTACAGAAATATAATCAGAAAATAAAAAATAAAACCGTTTCCCCGGCAACGGCGCCAAATTTTGACAGGGTAAAGTCGTATCCCCTAATCAAAAATAATTTCTAAGTCCTCTAACTAAAGTAGATAGGGAAGTAGGGTCGATCTCCACAGGGAAACAAGTCTTTTTACTCCAAATTAATTAATATAATCTAAATTATTTAAGTAACCAATATTTATAATTAAGTAAGAAACTAAACTACTAAGGTTGAGAATAAGAAGAAAACAATATATGAAAGGATCTGGGGCATAGGTTCACCAATAAATAATACTCCAGGGTAAAACATAGTAATTAATAATTAACAATGCATAGATAATATGATTAACAGGCTCTCGCAATTTATTAACCAACATAGATCTAACAGGCTCTCGCAATTTATTAGACCTACGTTCCTATTAAAAATAGCCTTTAATATTAAATCAACATCTGCTCGATTCATCAATTCAATATTGCTAAACATTCACAATCAAATTACATCTGCTCGATTCATAATCTAATTGCAAAGAATTAAAACAATTCAATAAGAAATTATCATGCAATATCAATAATCAATATTAACAAACTATCCCTTCATATTAATTATGGATCCCCATAAACCCTAGAATTAAACTACTCACTAATCATCATAATTAAACCAAACAAATAAATAAATAAGAACATGATCAAGAAAGCAATTAAAATAGCTGAAATTAAAAAGGGAAGAAATTGTACCAAACTAAATCTGGAATTAATGAAGGAATTAAGAACAAGAGTTAGAGAGAATTTAAGAGAGAGGAAAATACTAAGTAGAGAGAGAAAGTCTAAGTGAAAGAAGGTAAGTAAATAATCCGTACAAAACGTATATATACTTCCCCTAAAACAAGAATTAACTAAACTAAATCAGACACTAAGAAAAACACGCGCCCGATCGGGCGAAGGAGCGCCCGATCGGGCCCGCCTTTTTTCTATGCCCAGTCTAAAGTGCCACGCCCGATCGAGCCTACGCTCACCCAATCGGGCGCGCCTTTCCTTGATAGCCTTCATGCACGCAACCGCCCGATCGGGCGTATGCTTGCCCGATCAGGCCCGGTCTTCATCTTCAAGGCTTGGACTTCGATTGGGCTAGATTTCTCGGCCCAATCCATATTTCCTCTCGGGTCTCGAATACATGGTCCAATTGCCTCGTGATCCAAATAACCGAGCCCTTAATCACCGGCTCGATGGCTCTAGTCAGCCTTGGGCTCCAAAAGTGGTCGTGTTCCTCCAATGCTCGTAGTCGCTTCATAAAAATCCCGGGAAAATGCTCCAAAGGTGCAATTCCCTGCAAAACTTAACCAAAACTACGAAAACACTAGAAAACACATATTAGTAAGAAAAGTGGCCCTAAAGGGCCAAAAACACTACTAATTATGACCAAGGGACGGGTGTAAAACACTATATAAAATAGACATATCAATAAACCAATTTATTTGGAAGATAAACTAGGCACAACTGCTAAAGAAAGGGAAATAAATTAAGTGCTTCACGAAAAAAACTTAATCAAATCCACAGAAAACTTAACAAGAGCAGAACACATAAAGGACAACAACAACAATGATGGTCTGACTTACTGGCTAATCTAATTGAGTCACGACCACCAACACCAGTGATCAGCCCGGGCCGAGACGCCACCACCAAGATTAGAAGAAGGCAGCGATAAGGGGCCAGGGAAATGAATCGAGTAGGGAGGTTGGCCGATGAGTCGCTGAAGGATTATGGAGGGGGTGGTTTTGGGGTATTTTGGGAGTCGCGTGTTCAAGCTAACGTGTCATATAAATCCCCAGTGGCGGACGCAAAACACGTGAAGCACTGAAGGAAAGAGCGAAACCAAACGAAACTCAAAGTCTCAAACCTAACTCCCTCTCTAAGGGCCTGTTCTCATTGACTGAAATGAGTTGAACTGAACTGAACTTATTAGATCTGATTTGAACTGAACTGAACTGAATATTTTATGAGAGAAGGATATTAGGAGCTGAACTGAAAATAATCTGATGAGAACAGATCCTAAACTCTTTGAAAAATCCCCTTCAAAGTTATTTCGGCTATTTAACCAAATGTCACTGAGTACTTAAAAAATTCACTAGATGCCATCAAGGTTTTCAAAATTCACCAAATGCCATCGAGTTTTTAAAAAATTCACCAAATGCCATTAATGACTAACGGCCATTAACTCCGTTAGCCATTAAGATTAAATCTTAACAAGTGTCAAAATATGATTAGTTCATTTTAATTATTTATTTTAATTAATAAAAATAATATATTTTTTCTTCATTTTCGTGGCAAAAATTGCTCGGGTATAGTTTTGGGGGATCATTTTGAAACTTTATGGGAACAAATTAAGCTCAGAATTGACAAAAAAATAACGTAAATGCTTCGTTTTGTGTGTTGAAAAATATTTCGATTAGCATGTCGTTATTTTTTAACCATCAAAATTGATCGGGTAAGGTTTTGGGGGTCATTTTGATATTTTATGAGAACAAATTAAGCTCGGAATTGACTAAAAAATAACATATATGCCCCGTTTTGTATGTCGATATCGTAATTTTTTTACGGAATAATGCGAAATGGGGTATTTACGTTTTTTTTTGTTGTTGCCAATTTCGAGTTTAATTTGCATCCATATAGGGTCAAAATGACCCCCAAAACCTTACCCGAACAATATTCGTCACGAAAATTGAAAAAAAAATATTATTTTTATTCCATTAAAATAAATAATTATTGTGAATTAATTTTAAAAAGTAATGACATTTGTTGAAATAATTTTCCAAAGTAATGACATTTGGTGAAATAAGAATTGCATTAACGGACAACTAACGTTCATATGCTATTAGTGGCACGAGGTGTCATTGTATTGGCATTTGGTGAATATTGAAAACTTTGATTGCATTCGGTGAATTTTGTAAGTACTAGTGGCATTTGGTGAAATAGCGGAAGTTATCTCAACGTTTATGCTGCACCCTTCCCACTCTCTCTCCATTACCAAACGAAACTCAAAGTCTCAAACCTAACTTCCTCTCTAAGGGGCTGTTTTTATTGACTGAAATGAAATGAATTGAAATGAACTGAATTATACTTATTAGATCTGAACTAAACTTATAAAATCTGAATTGAACTAAATATTTTATAAGAGAAGAATATTAGGAGCTGAAGTGAAAATGCTCTTACGTGAAAAGACAAAATCCCCTTCAAAGTTATTTCAACGGTTATGCTGCACCCTTCCCACTCTCTCCATTACCATCTGACTTCTCCATTCAACCAGCTTTCTCAGGTAACATTGCATATATTCTTCTTCTTCTTTTTTTTTTTTTTTTTAAAAAAAAAAAATCATCCAACATTAATCTCACATTTTATTGTTAATCGTTAATTTAATTATTGTCACTCATTTCAAGCTTGATTTGATTTGGCATTAGAATTAAACCATGTTGTTGTCAAGAGGATGTTCCCCGATTTCAAGAACTGGGTTGAATCAGTTTCGATATTCAGCTGTTGCTACATATCATCAATTGTTATGCAACTCAAACGCCATTATCAATTCTTCTTCAATGTTGTCTAAGGTAAATGGGTATTCATATTTTTTGCATATGTCAAGTATTGTAGATATTGTTGGTAATCCCGCGACTTTCGCATTGTTTTCTATGTGTAGTATATCTGGGGTTTTACAGAAAATACATCTGGGAGATTCTTTCGTGATGGTGCAAGACATTATATACATCATGTTGCAACGTCTACAATTGAGGTTAGGTGTGACTTTTGCAGATTCAACTTCCAAATTTATCACACTCGCTACTTGTTTCCTCTTGCTAAGACGTAAATTATATTGATTTCACCTTACAATTTACTTATTTCAGGATTAATAAGTTCATACAAATTCAAAGGGTTGTTCAAGAATGACATTAGGAATCACAAATAATTTTAGTCACTTGTTACTACACCAATCGTAGGAGTCACTATATTGAAGTATAGATAACATGAATAATCAAAAGGTGAAGCTACTATTCTCTTCCGGAGCCAAAATGTTGTTTTAATTTTAATGAACACAAAGCAACGATCTCTTTGCTTGCTGGATTGGGTTGCATCTTTTTAGGGTGGAGGTGGTTAAATTTATACTATAATGGCATTCATTTTTTATTAATAACAACCAAAATGAAAGATGCGGATAGGTGGAGAGTTACCGTCCTTAGAATTTGAATAGATTGCTAATGTATGGAATTTGAATACTTGGATGGCTATGTATCTATGAAAATACATTTAGCAAAAACTTGTTAATTAATGACGACGGTGAGACCTCACAACTTTAAAACAATCAAAGATGATATCTCCTCATATGTGTCCAGTGTTCTGCTAATAGTGAGACACTCAGGTACTTGTTCTTGCGATGTAATTTACTGAACTCCCTAGGTGAGTCCATCACTAAGAAAAAATCTTGTCATTGAAGTAAAGCATCACATAAGTGAAACCTTTGTTTTAAAGGCTCTTTAGTCTTTAGTATAACATAGGGATGATTAGTGCTGTCCAATTTACTATTTTTAGTCATTATAATGATTTGAGAGACATAGGCTATGTTCAGCTCATCTAATCCGAATTTTTACTTTTCATCTCTGGTGTGATTTATTTTCCTAATTAGACTAAACTTTGACCTTATTTGTATACTAACCTTCAAGAAAAAACAAAATTATCAAATAAGGATATGAAATGACATTGGATTAAAAGTAGGTGTGAAGATCAAGGATAATCAATTTAGCTTTTTGTATGGGAAATCAATAATGGAGGTCATTCATGTTATGAGACAACTAATAGAGAAGAATGGTTTACACATGTTTTGTATTGATTTGGAAAAGAAACCTATGATGAAGTATTGAGTAAGATACTGCAATGGATTCAGATCAGTTCTCAAACTAAAGACACAAATCACAATATTTGAGGGAGAAATATTGAATTTTTGAATAAATGTTCAAGCCAAAAGTTCCTTACAAATGGTGGGTTTTGCCCGCCACTCTCCTAGGGTGACTTTAGGTTACCAGTCTCCACAAAACTCACTCACAAATTACCTACCTCATCAATCTCTCTCTTCCCTTTTTATATGTACAAGCAATTCCTTAGATGATTGCTACTGGCTGCTGATTTTGTCTTATGTCCTGCTCTCTTTCCCATCAATTGCTATTGGGGTGGGTGTATTTGGCTGCTCTGCTGTAGTCAGAGGTCCGTTAGCGATCCTCTTAGTGCATTCCTTCCTCCTGGAGTAGGTGAGGACCACTGGCAGGGTCTATTACATCTCCCCCGCCTTGAAGTCTCAACGTGAAGGGAGGGAAAACGATCACGCACCATTGTTGCTTCTTTCCAAGTTGCTTCAAACAGGGGCAATTTTTTTCCACTTGATCAAAAATTCAGTGTTCAGTCACCACCTCTCTGCCTTGTTTCTTTTTCCAGGACCTCTTCTGGTTCAGCTATTAATTCCAGGGTTAATTGCTGAGGTATAGGGTGGTTGCCAACACACTTCTTCAATTGGGATACATGAAATACCGGGTGTAATTGACAGTCGGGGGGGGGGGGGGGTAGAGCAAGCTTATATGCTACCTTGCCTACACGCTGTACCACTGCAAATGGCCCATAGTGCCTCGCAGCAAGTTTCTCAAAGTGTCTCTTAGCCAAGGTGTGCTGGCGATATGGTCTGATATTCAAGTATACCTCCTCTCCAACCTGAAATTCTTCTCTCCTCCTCTTTTTGCCAGCATAAGTAAATTCACACGCAACTCATCAATCATGAAGTCACGCTCTTGTAACCACTCATCCAAGCACCCCACTGTCGTCTGCTCCCACCTTAATCAATTTGGGCGAATCCCGACCATAGAGTACCTTATAAGGAGTCATCCCTGAAGAGATGTGAGGGGCAGTGTTATAAGAGAATTCTGCCCAGTCTAACCAGGCAGCCCACTGCTTGGTTTTCTCTCCTGCAAAACATCTCAAGTAGGTCTCTAAGACCATCCGTTTGTGGATGGTAGGCTGTACTTTCTTCAACTCAGACCCTTGCAACTTGAACAGCTCATTACAGAAGTGACTCACAAAAACCTTATCTCTGCCCAACACAATAGAAGAGGGAAACCCATTACTTATTGAAAACCTCCGCTACAATCATGACATTAAAGGGATGTTTCAACCCAAAAAAGTGAGCGTATTTTGAGAGCCTATCCACAACTACCAACACTGTGTCAAAACCCTTAAACCTCGGTAAGCCCTTGATGAAATCTAATGATAAGTCTTCCCAGATGGCTGTAGGCACTGGTAAGACCTCAGCTTAGTTGAGATGCTTTGTCCTGCCAGCAGGTCGCACATCTCCGCACATATTCTCCCACCATCTTCCTCATACCTATCCGGAAAGCTAATCACTTGCAATGGATTCAGATCAATTCTCAAACTAAAGACAAAAATCAGCTCTCAAACTAAAGACACAAATTAGTTCTCAAACTAAAGACACAAATCACAATATTTGAGGGAGAAAGATTGAATCTTTGATTAAATGTTCAAGCCAAAAGTTTCTTACAAACGGTGGGTTTAGCCCACCACTCTCCTAGGGTAACTTTAGGTTACCAATCTCCACAAAACTCACTCACAAATTACCTACCTCATCAATCTCTCTCTCCCCTTTTTATATGTACAAGCAATTCCCTTGATGATTACAACTGGTTGCTGATTTTGTCTACTGTGCTGCTGTCTTTCCCATCATTTGCTGCCATCTGTTCCGTGTTGCTTGGGGTGGGTGCATTTGGCTGCTGTAGTCAGAGGTTTGTTAGTGATCCTCTTAGGGCCTGTTTTCATACGATTATTTTCAGTTCATTTCAGTTGAGTTCAGCTCTAATAAGTTCAGTTCAGTTCAGCTCCTAATTTCCTTCTTTTATAAAATATTCATTTCACTTCAGCTCAGTTCTAATAAGTTCAGTTCAGCTGAGTTGAGTCACTGATTACAGACCTTTAGTGGAGTAGGTGACGACCACTGTTGGTCTCACAGGGTCTATTGCATTGTGAAGCAAACTTGAGGCTTTAGGCAAATTAGAAATAGGACGGAATATTAAAAATGTAGTTTTAGTAGAGTTAGAAATAAGCGGCAGGGCAAATGGATGGGAGATTTTTTTTTTTATGTTTAGATTTATTTCGATATCTAGTATTTATTATTTCAAGATGGAAAATTAGATGGAGATGTTGCTCATAGAAACAAAGTAGGTTGGTTGAAGTGGAAGAGTGCTACAAAGTGTAATTATGGAACCCACTATAAGGAAAAATTTCACCGCATGTCCATTAGCCTGCATTATTATATGGTTTGGAATGTTGGCAGTGATACATTGTCACATTCATAAGTTGATTGGGGTGGAGATGTGTATGTGGCTATAGAAGAAATAATCAATTATGGGATGAGATAACTAAAAAAAGAGGGAAAATCAACTAAGATGGTTTGGCTATAAGAGGGTCAAAGAGATGGGAGTTGTAAGAGTAGGGATTGAGTGATTGAGAGTGAAATGTGTCTTTTAGGGATTGAGTGAGGGCCTTGGATAAGGCAAACTGTCCGAGGACATGTCATGACTATAATGAGAAGGGTTTTATGTGCATATGTTTTCTACTGAAAATGCATGTTTTATGAACTAAATGTCCAAAAAAGTTGATTGTAATTCAATGTGCATATTTTTGTACATAATGTGCATATTTGTCATTAACCCATACTTCTAACAAGTTGAAATTGAAATTTGCACTTAGTAGAATTTATATGCACATTCATCCTTCTCATTCTTTTCATTTTATGAAGCTTTTCATTGAATCTCAAGCCCATACATTTACTTTTTTTTTTTCTTCTCTTTTTCCTTGATTTTTGTGTTTTGCAAAACTCTAATTATTTTCTTCTGTTAAGATTTTTGCTCCCATGTTTTCCTTCAATTTTTTTTTTTATCTAACCTGGGCCCTTTTTCATAAATCTTTCTCAAATCCAATTTATTATTATTTTTTAATTGTGCTCGTTTTTTGATGTGTGTGTTCCCATTTTTTTCCACTTACATGTTATCACTGTTCTATCTGTTCCATTATTTCGCGGGTGACTCCTTAATACAATTCTTGTTAGCTAACCCAAAAAAGATTGGAACTGAGCCTTGTTGTTGCGGATATTATTAGATTTAAATTTATGCGTACTTTCGTAAAAAGAAAATTTCAGTAATTTTTAGCAACGGAATAAGTATATTTTGCAATAAGTAAACACAAATAAAAAGATATGATATTGTATGGTCTAAACTAAGCAATTATGTACTCATGCCATAAGGGGCACTATGTCGTAGTGGGACACTAGTTATTTTTTGATGCAAGTTTTATTTCTTAAACCCAACCTTATATGCAAACTAATTGATGAATTGAAAATTTTCATGTAAGCCGGTAGTTGATGGGTGTGCACGTGAAATATTTTGTTGTTCTAAAGGGAATATTAAATTTTCATCTTTTGGTCAAATGGTATCATTCTTTTGAAGAGGCTTTTAATTTCAAAATTTCAATTATGGTTTAACATTGTATGTAATTTTATTTCTCCAATGAAACTTGCTAAATTACTTTTGCAGGTCCAATCAGATCCTTTTTCCCTTGTTTCTGATGAGTTATCACTCGTAGCTGATAGATTGCGGTCAATGGTAGTCACAGAGGTGCAATAGTTACTCATCTTTTGTGATAAATAAATAATGTTTGAATCAAATAAGGCAACTAAAGAATGGGCATCTGATGTTCATTGTACCGATTTCTTTCAGGTCCCTAAGTTGGCATTTGCTGCTGAATATTTCTTCAAAATTGGAGTTGAAGGAAAGCGCTTTCGTCCCACAGTATGTGTGTGTGTATATATATATATATAGGGTTGAATCTTTATTATGTAACATGAACTACAAGGATGAGTGGCATGGTGTCAATAGTTTCATTGGAAATTGAGAGTTTGTCTAGATAGTTCTCAAACACGTGACAATTGATGACATTTTCTTTTTCTTTGAAAATTTGATAGATATGTGTAGTTAACTAAGGTGTGTTGATGATTTGTCTATGTTACTGATATTCTGACATGACTTACTCTTAATCTGTCATAGTATGTATAATCTGCCTTTTCAGAAAAGGAATAAAACTGTTCTTCGAACGTCATGCTTGCTTGTTGTGGCGTTTGTGAAACAGTATAATGTTATGACACTGGATTTTTACCTCTCCTGTATTTATGGTAGATTTTTATTGTCAGTTTGGCTAAAAGTTTTGACATTTGAAAATTTTGTCTTAATTTCTTATCTCTCCATATATTATTTCTAAGAAATTGAAGTGTACAGGTTTTATTGTTGATGGCAACAGCTTTGAACATGTCCGATAGACCATCACTTGATTATTTGGAAACACCGCTTCGTAGAAGACAACAGTGCATTGCTGAGATCACAGAAATGATCCATGTAAGTGTATATTTGTCTATTTCTTTTACTTTCCTTGACATTGTTATATGCATTTTTGTTAATTGTTTTGTTAGTTTCTCAAAGTTCAAGTTACCAAAATGGATGCTGAATTATGGTGTCAAGTAAATTGTGTGTATATATGTTGACTTTTACTCTCTAAATTTTTTTAAGCCTGTAACACATGGTGTATGTAGTTCAGGGTACTTTTGAGACAAATCAGTAAGTCGATATAGCTGTGAACTGTGGAAAGCTTTGGGTAACCTATATCAAAGATCTACAAATTTTGTAATGAAAAACTTACACTTTGGGCCCACGTTAGGGTCAAATGCTAGAAAATTGGTACTCAAGGCGCCGAGAGAGAGGGGGGAGGGGGTCCTACTCCTTGTCACAATCTTTGGCCATTGAAGAAGCTTTCCTTTCCTTTATTTTCTTCATTCTTATGTATGTGAGAAGTGAATGATAATAGATGTCCGAGATTTAGTGTTATGGTTCTCATCACATTAACCTAAGGCTAACTCTTAATTTTAATGCTAGCTCTCAATTTACTTTTCTCCAAAAGGTTTTTTTAATCCATAACTTTTTCATAATGCTATAAGCCTATAAGTCCTTATAGTCTTACCTCTTGTTCGCCAACTTAAGTGCATAATGCTTATTGTGCACTCGGAAGAATATAAATACTAATGCAAAACAGCACCAGCAAGAATATCCACCCCCCCCCCCCCCCCCAAAAAAAAAAAAAAAAAAAAATTTGTATAAATATAGGTTAGGATCTGTTGAGAAGGCAACATAAGGTGAGAAGCGTGAGAAATCCAGATATATCAAGAATTTGGTATAGATACATCAAGTATATATTAAAGATACATCGACAAAATTAAGAGAAAAAAGTAAAATTGGAGCCATAATTTTCTTTATATTTCAACCTCAATTCACATCCTTTGAAACTCAAAAATTAGTTGTCTACTTGAAAAGAAAATTGTTGCAGGCGTTATGGGTTCTGAAGAGAATGCAGCATTTTGATATTCGGGGTATGCAATTTTGATATTCTTATTTATGATACTTTTCTAATTGATGTGCATTGGGTTCTGAAGAGAATGTAGCATTCAGCTTGATTTTAATATTCAGTTGATGATATAGAGTTTCCGAGAGAGAGAGGATGGAAAAGAGAGGGATGTTATGATGAATGTGCTAAAGCTATTGAATTTACTTTAATTGCCATTTTTTCTATCGGCTAGACATTCAGTATTAAGTATGCTATTACACCCCCCTCCCCCCCCCCCTTCTCACGCACTCCCTAACACCATTTTTTTTCAGTGTTTGGAAACTGTTTTCATTTTTTTTAGTAACATGAGCTCTAATTATATCAATTGGTCTATCTCCATATTGTCTCTGTTTCTGTTATTGTTTTGTTATGCTGGTATAGAATTGACATTGTAAGTTTGATTCTAAATTGTATTGGTCCCAAACTCTCAATATAACATTATCTTCTTTCTGCTTTACTTGATACATTTGTTGTCCCTCGTTTTTCAACCATGTAGGCTGTAGCATACCTTTTTGTAAGCTTTATCTTTTGTACAGGAATGCATGCTTGAGTATTCTAAGTATTTGATCTATTTATGATTTACCAAATTTTGTATTAGCTGGACCTTAAGGCATTCTCTTAACTATTAATGTGTAGAAATCTTAGTATTTATGATTGAAATGGGTATCATCTATTGGCTTAACTGGGACACTTTTGTTCTTTTAGGTGGCAAGCCTTCTTCATGATGATGTATTGGATGATGCTAATACAAGACGTGGTATTAGATCATTAAACTCTGTAATGGGGAATAAGGTAATGTTTTCAGCTTCTTATGCAGCATGTCAAATTTGGTAATTAAAAAATAAAATCTGATTTATTAATTTTCCAAATAATAAAATATCTGGCCTCCTCTAATAATCTTAGAGCTCAATTGTCAAATAAACCAAACTTTCTTAAAAGGGGAAAATGATTATCTGTAAAACAGAATCAAATTGACATTCACAAACCAAGCAAATAAGGAGTCCAACAGCGCTCAGAGTACTGAAACTTAGGTGCTAGGCCCAATTGCAAAACTGGCCTGTTGTGAATTGAAGCTTTGAAACATCTCCTGCCTCAAGTAATCTTAGGCTTGGTAGGCTGTTGATAATACAGTTCTCGGTCTTGTTTCAGCAGCCTTCAGATTCTCTTGCAACAAATAATTGGTGGTCCCACTTATGGAAATCAGATTTGTAATACAACACTCAACTATATATAATGTCATTCACTAAAAAAACCTATAACTTCATTATCACAAAGAATAGGTACAACGTACAACGATGTGTCTATAGCTCAATACATGACTCTATCACTCTATGCTCAAAATGTGTAAGCTATTTCCTGTTCTTTATGCTCACAAATCTCCTTTTTTCACACACATTTTTAGTGCACAACTTTAAGTGTAATAGAGTATGCCCAGCATGATTTAGCGTTGGTCTAGATAATCTGGGTACATGGTAGTGTTTGTTGTTTTCATTTGAAAGCATGGGATATACATACTTTCGACAAAACATTTTACTTTTTTACATACATTCCCATGGTTTTGCTTGTCTCTCATATATTTACCAATACATACACCTAGCTGATCTTACATCTCTTGTACACCTTAGTGGTGATATTTACACCCAAACACCTCAAATTTCTTAACAATGTAGAAAAATTTCTTTTTCTTCATTCATACAATAATACCAAGTTCTCATTCCCTTGAGGTACAACCCCTTTGTTGGTAATAGGTGCTGATTAATTTTCACGTGTATGAAATGTGATGCATCAAACATTAATATCAACCAATAATCAATGTTTATGATAATAGTACTAAATATCCTTAATTCAAGAGTGAGGGATAGCTCAAGTGGTTAGAGCTCCCCTCTCGGTTCTAATAGATCTTGGGATCGATTCTCATCGTGGCTCTCTAAACACCTAAAAACTAAAAATACCCTTAATCCCGTGTTAATTTGCAAGATAACACTTCCACTCACATGTGTGTTGGAGATTACAAAGCTTTAAATAAGGATAACATATCAAAACTACTACACTGTACAATATCTCAATTCTCAACTAAGTATAAACATTACAATTGACTAAGTAATTAAGACTCACGTTAATTCCTAGTTATACTAAAATTAAAGAAACTAAAATACTAAGCTCCGAAGCACTGGAATCCATTAAATCAAACAAATGCAATTTTGAACCTTAAGAGAGAGTTTGAGATGATGAGGATGAAAAATAGTGAAGGTACCTTGGAATACAGTAGTTGGCTAATGTCCATCATTGGATGAGAATTTGACAATCAAAGAGTAGTGGAAAACTTCTTGTTAGTTTATTGAAAAGGTATGAAATTTATCTTTGTTCCATTGAAGAAACTCCCTCCATCCCATGTAAAAGCCCTATTTTCATTAGGCACATAGATTTAGAAGATTCATTTTGATGGGCTATTGTTGATTAAAGTTGAATAAAGAAAGTAGTTGATATATTTTATTGTATTAAAGGAAAGAGAGAAGATATGGTGGGGTTTAAGGGGTTTTGTTGATTAAAAGTGAATAAAAATATAAGTTAGTGGATGATGAATTCAACTGAAAGGAAAAATGGGGCTTTTAAATAAGGACAGACATTGGGGAGAAATGGGCTTTTAATAGGGGACAGAGGGAGTACTAATGATTTCTCAAAGTTGACAATTTCGGAGTTAATCAATTCATTACGTATCAAAGAAGTATGAAAAATGGAGATGGTGATAGAGTTGGAGGTGGCCTATTGGCTAAGTCATCTTACCACAAAAAGAAAGGTAAATCTCTCCAATTCAACAATTTTCATAAGATCGGTCATGAGGAAAAAGATTGTTGGCATAAGGGAAAACCTAAATGCTTAGCCTTTAGCTATCAACTTTGGGTATATAGTAAAGGATTGCAGGTTTTAAAATGATGATCAAGAGTATGGAACAAGTGGCCGTTAATGAAACTTTATTTTAAAGTTGTGAGTGAGATATTCACTATGGAGAGTGTGTTAGAAAATAATTATGGGGATGAAGAATTAGGGACGTGTTTACACTGTCCTTAAAGCAATTTTAACCCCCACTATGATTGCTATGGGTTACCGGTTAATATGCTCCCAGGATTTCCCTAAGTTCGAGAACAACTAAAGCAATGTAATTGAACTCCCTAAGAACAAATTTAAGAACAATAAGAATATATAAGAAATAAGAAGATAAAGTAAAAAGGTTAGTTATAATTTTGGAGCAATTAACTATATATAATGAATAACCTTTTAAACCAAGAATCACTATTTCCTAAAATAATTAATTAATATAATCTGACTTTTAATGAAAAGTCATTATTATCATAATCAATTTAACCGTAAGAAAGTGACTGTTGACACTTGCCCGACGGGCAAATAAACGGACGAATCTTTTAACTAGGCTCGCGCCCGATCGGGCAATGCCCGCCCGATCAGGCCATCTACACTAAAGAAAATAAAGCGCCCGATCGGGCTAACTCAGGCGAGCAAATATTATTTTCCTAAGTTTATATTCGCGCCCGATTGGGCAAAGCCCGCCCGACCGAGCCCGTGGTCATAAACATGACTCCCGTTAAAATTTTGTTTTGCTCCAAATATTAAACTTATAGACTAGCTCCAAGCTAAACTTTTCTATTTAACTCATGTGGGAGTTTTCTTCCCAACATCAAGTTTAATAGAATAGAGTAACTTATAGACTAGCTCCAAGCTATACTTTTCTATTTAACCAATGTGGGAATTTCTTCCCAACTTCAAGTTAAATAGAATAGAGTAAGCTATCATCCTCTATTCAACTAATGTGGGACTTTCTTCCCAACATGTTAAATAAAATTGAACAAGATAACTTCTTCTATTATACCAATGTGGGACTTCCATCCCAACATTTTAAGCTATATAGACTAACCTATACAACCTAACTTTTATTTTACTAATGTAGGACTAATTTCCCATCATTCACAAAACACCTATTGTGAAGACTACTCTAACAATCCCCCACTTAGTCTTCAAATTTGGTGTATGTTCTTAACCAACAAATTATGCATCGATGAAGGTATCTTATCGATTTGAACCTCCACCTAGTGTAAACTTTCAAAGTAACAACAAAATTAATGGTAGCATGTAGCTTTGAACCATAATCTTAAATGTCATTGTCGGAAATTCTACACACACAACTTTGTTAAACCAAATGTTTTTAGAAATGGTAGCACTATGTGCTCATCCTAGTATTCATGAACATCTCCAAAAGTAAAAACACACTTTTGCTAGGAACAACATCATTCCTATATGTTCATATCGATGAAGTACAAAAATAACCTTTGATACTTCATTTAGAGTCTAAAACTCACCCTTACACATATATATTAATTATACTCAACAATAATCAATATATCATCAACAAATAACTTGTTTTTACCACATTGAACCTTTAATATAGGGGTAGTACTATAGGAAAGGTTGGGATATGTTGTTCTTGATTAAATAATTGGTTTCAAACCAATTTCCTTGGACATTGTTTGCACCATGTCCCTTGGTAATCCTTTTGTAAAAGGATCTGCCAAATTATTGCAAGACCTTACATACACAACAGTTGAAAATTATTGCAAGACCTTACATACACAACAGTTGATTAACTGACGTACATATGCATGTCTTAAACTAATATGTCTAGATTTTCCATTATAAATCTTATTATTCGCTTTAGACAGACAGTTCAAAGAAATGGATGACATTGGTTGTGGCCACAACTCTATATCTAATAACATGTTGCTTAGCATTTCTGCTTCTTTTCCTGCTGCTGCTAAGGCTAAAAATTCAGCCTCCATGGTGAAATGAGTAATACAAGTTTGCTTCTTTGAAGCCCAAGAAACAGTACCTCCACCAAGCATAAAAACCCACCCACTATTGGATTTATTATCACCGGTGCTAGTAATCCAACTAGCATATGAAAAACCCTTAAGAGATGGAATTCTATTATAATGCAAACTAAGATTTTTTGTTCTCTTTAAGAAACCAAAAACTCTACCAATAGCTTTCCAATGTTCAACATTAGGATTGCTAGTAAATCTAGAAAGTTTGCAAACTGCAAATGCAATATCGGGCCTAGTACAATGAGATGCATACATTAAACTGAATTTTCACCGAATGCCCATGAGTTATTTTTTTATTCACCATATACCCATAAAATTTTTCAAATTCACCGTATACACTTGAGTTACACAAAAATGTCACCAAATGCCTTTAATGACTAATAGCGGTTAACTCCGTTAACTGCCGACCCGCCGTTAGTCATTAAGCTAAATTGTGCCACATGGCATGCTGCAAATGGTTCTCTTTTAATTAATTACTCAATTAATTTAATTAATTACTTAATTAATATAAAAAAAAAAAATTAAACCCACCCCCTAGCCACCCCCTCCCCTACCAAACCAACCTCCCGCCAGCAGCCGCCGGCGCCGGTGGCCCCCCACCCCAAGTCGGAACCAACGCCGGTGGTAGGCCAGCCCCCACCCTCGACACCCCCTCCTCAATTCCCTAACCCCACGACACCCTTTCTCCTCCCCTAAAACCATCCATATCCGCCAACGTCTTCCCGGAAACAACCCTCGTCCCATATCCACCACCCTAAATCGATCCCCTCCCGTTCCCCACCCTTAATAGGCCACCTAGAATGTAACACCCCAATAATTCTCTCTTTAAACATGTGAGGACCCTTAAGTCTGAACAATATTCAAGAGAATTACTGGCGTGCTACCGTCACGTGTTCAAAC